TGACGCTGGCGACGGCCGGCGTGGTCGGCATCCTCGTCAACACGCTCTCCGTGTCCAACTACCTCCCGAGCATCGACCTCCTGCGGCGGCGCATCGCGGAGGCCGGCAAGAAGAGCTACACCATCGTGGTGGGCAAGCTGAACGCCGCCAAGCTGGCCAACTTCGCCGAGGTCGACGGGTGGGTCGTCGTGGGGTGCTGGGAGAGCGGGCTGGTGGAGGAGGACGCGGGCTTCTTCAAGCCCGTCATCACGCCCTTCGAGCTCGAGGTCGCGCTCAAGCCCGAGAGCGAGCGGGTATGGGGCGTCGAGTGGTGGGGCGGCATCGAGAAGCTGGACCACGACGCGGCCAAGCCCGAGGAGGAGGACGACCGCTCCGAGGACGAGTCGGCGCCGCCGGAGTACGACCTGCGCACGGGCAAGCTGGTGAGCAGCCGGCCGATGCGGATGCCGGTGCGGTCTGCCAACGAGACGGCCAAGACGAACGGGGAGAGCCTCGCGAAGCCGGGGACGCAGTCGGCGCTGGTGAAGCGGGAGGTGGGCGAGGTGGCCACGATCAACGGCGTGCTGAGTCCTGGCGCCGAGTATCTGCGGTCGCAAAGGACGTGGCAGGGTCTGGGGACAGATTATGACGAGGAGGCCAGCACGCTCGTCGAGGAAGGCAGGAGTGGTGTTGCGCGTGGGTACACGGTCGGCGAGGACGCCGGCAGGTCATAGGGGTACGCCTTGGACGGTTTCTATTTTTTTTCAAAAGTTCTACAAAAATGGCGAGGGAACACGCGGGGTCACATAGAAAGGGGGCGGCGGGATACCAATTCATTTCATGATCATGTCCATTCTTCTTCTTCATTGTCTGGTCGAGAAATTCATTCTGTGTACATGAGAGAGAAGACGCTCGATCGGTCCAGCCAGACCGATGCATCGTCATCGAGGATAGGGAAATTATTAAGACAATGGTGCAAAAATGAGACGGGGAAGAGAAGGATTGACTCAAGGTCGTCGATTCGTCATCATGAATAGATCCATCCTCCAACAAATAAATACGCCAGGCTGTTGCTACTTTTCAGCAATCAACTTTGAAATTCTTCTCTCACACACAAGTTCCTCCCATACATCTTAATCGTGTCATTCCATGGTATAGTATATAATCTCATCACACATTTTTCTCTCATTCTATAGCTTTGCGCATGTCGCATGCGCTTCGTCGGACCCGCGTTGTCATCTTAGACATAAACGCGGCGGGAGTGGGAGCTGCGACGGCTGTGGTGGCTGTGGCTGCGGTGACGGCGGTGGTGGCCGCGGTGGTAGTACTTGCGGTCGTAGCTCTTTGACAGGTGGTCGCCGTGCATCCAGGCGAGGGCGGCGGTGAAGAAGAAGAGGATGCAGTTGATGATGCCAAAGACCCAGGAGGCCTTGAGCATGGCACAGGGCTTGTTGGTGATGAAGCTGAGGCGGGGACCGGAGATGGAGAAGAGGCCGGGGAAGTTTGCGGTCCACTGGCCGTTGCGAGACAGGTCGGTGCAGTCGACCCAGTTGATGCCCCTCAGGTACCAGACGGCGGCGATGAAGGCGCCGACGAAGCCGAGGTCGATGACGGCGACGAAGAGGGCGTTTGCGCTGCTGCGGTGGTAGCTGAAGAGGGTGAAGATGGCCCAGGCAAGGGCGAGGACGGAGACGATGAAGAGGACGAGGATGGAGTTGGGGACGATGACGTTGGCCTTGACGAAGCCGTCGACGAACCAGGCGAGCATGCCCATGGTGGGGATCTGTTGGGCAGCGTGTTAGAACCTTTCTTTTTTTTTTTTTTTTTTTTTTTTTCGGTTTTATTCTCAATTCATTGTGGTCGCAAATTGTCGCGAGAATTGAGTTGGTGGTGAGGTGAGAGAGACCCGAGGTGAGTGAGAGGCTTACCAAGGTGATGATCTGCAGGAATCGCGTTCCCGCGAAGGCCATTGCGAACAACATGATGGGCGAATTGTGCCCCGAGGGCGCGCTAAACTATCAAAAAGTTGCGACGCGTTGGCGAGGACGGAATGCGCTTCGATTGCGCTTGCGACGGTAGTGCGGCCGATGAGGGCGGACAATGCTTAGTTGGATACTGGGAAAGTCCGGCGAGAGGGCGCGGGAGCTGTCGGGGATGGACGCTGCTGGCGCTGCTGTCTGACACGGAGCAGAGTGAGACAGACGGTCGGGAGGAAGGGTGAGGGACGGGAAGGTAGAAGAAGAAGCAGAACCTCTAGAAGGGCTTCGGACGAAGGAGGGTGGTTGGGATGGGGGTGGTTAAGTAGTTTGGGCCAGGTACGGATTGGATGCCGGCGCCGCAGCAGCAGATTCGAGGTGCGTCAACGAGGCGGTGGTCTCTTTGGCGTGTGTCGGGTGTGAGAGAGCAAAGCGAATGTGTCAATGTTAGCGGATGCAGGTCAAGGTGGTGGAGGATTGGTTGGACTGGACGGGGGGTCAGCAAGTCATGACAAGCAAGGACGGGCAGCAAATAGAAGAGAGTCGCAGTTGCGTAAGGTAGGTAGGTGGTGGAAGAGGGCAGCAAAGCAGGGCAAGGTGGAATTGGGGGTGGTTGGGCTGGATCACAGTGGTCAAGGTCATGGATGGTGAAGCGAAGCGAAAAAGATGCAGAGTGGTATTGGAGGCTGTTCTGGCTGGCTACCCGCAAATGCACGATGCACCGGTCTGCAAGATGCGACCCTGGAGATGGTGGCATCGTCGAAAGAGACTGCAGAGGTGGGAAAAGGAAGCAGAAAAAAAGAGGTGGCAGGGATGGTTCCCAGTTTTTCTGCTCGCGGGCTGGGCTTGTACAGGGCTGCCTGGCTTGCTGCTGCTGACTGACGAAGTCGACGACGAAGACGACGACGACCGATGAAGTTGCATGGGACGGGCAGCGAATAGCGGCAAGGCAAGGTAAGGCGGCCTGATGTGTGTCTGTTTTTGTTTCTGTCTGTGTTGGTGTTGACTTTTGATCGACTCTACTTGGTCACAGTATCACAGCGGTGTTTGCGCATTGCGAGGGAACCAAGACACAGAGACAGAGACAGAGACAGAGAAGGAGAAACAGAGGGAAACATGGCGCAGCTCGGTGCAGCAGTCCCTTGGGCTGAGAAAGTAAAGGCGAGCACGGCCTTCCGGTCAAGGATTGACGGCTGCCATCAACAGCACCCACGGAGCTTTTGCTCTTTCGCAAACCGCCGTCAAACAGTGACACAGACAGGTCCTTCCCTGCGTCGGTTGCTATGACGTCGAGGATCGGCAGTCGCTGCTTCCCTTTTCGGTCCCCCATCCAACGGCAACAGCAACAGCCACACTCAGAAAGAAGGAACACCACCACCCAGGGCAGCTTATCTCAGCTCAGCTCCAGGTGCCAGGTCCGAGGCCACCACCACCTCTTTTCTGCACCTCAGCCAAACTGCATCCCATCCATCTGCCTGTACGCCGTCGTCATCCAGCATGGCAACAGCAGATCAAGGCTTGCACCCACCTGGGAGACATGCGCTCATCATCTGTCCATCGGCCCTGTCAATCCGGGAGAGCAGCCCCCGTTTTACCCAACGGTACCTTATCTTGCCAATTCACACAACCCATGCCCACCCCGTCCATCGCAGATACGTACTCGACACCGTTGACGGTCTAGAATCATCTCGAGAACAAAGAAACACAGCGACCGACATTCATTCCTGTCTCTCTCGCTCCGTCTCCCGTTTCATTCCAGGGTCTTCCCAGATTGACCACCACCGAGGTACACTACTGCCACCAAGGCTACCAACCTAGGTAGAGGCCACCAAGTAGTCTACCGCCTTGGTTTCCCGGCCAGCAGTGACAACACACCATTTGACACCCGATGCTCACAGGACGAACCAGCCAATGACAAGCGCAACCCCCACTCCACCATTCGAGAAACCACCAGCGACAGCGGATAATGAGACGCACCATGACCAAACCCATCGCCGTGAATGCGCATTCTCTCTCGCCTTCGCTTCCCTGTCTTCGTCTCTCTTACGCGGCACAGACTCCCGCTCGAAACAAACACTCCCGTGCTGCTCCCTCACCGCCGGTGAAACCACAAAAAAATAAAAGAACAGGATGAAAAAGAATAGCGGGGACCCGATGAGGTGGCTGGGCTGGAACCGGACACCACTCCACTGACTCGTTCGACTCTGTCCACTGGTTCTGCGTCTCGAACAAGCACCCAAGGCACCCTCTTACAGAAAACCCATCCGGCCGTCGACGGCTCTGGACTCGTCCGCGGCATCTCCACACCGCCGCCCGCCGCCGTCTTCCAACTGGGCGTTCCCAATGTTACGGCCCAACGCGGTTCCACGTGGAGTCGATGCCATGCGATGCACCACCGCGATCCCGCCTCTAGCTCCGTTTCCTCCTTGTCCGCCGCCCATTGATGCCTCACCGACACACTACCGGTATCCGTACACCCCATGAGTAGGCCCCGTCCAGTCCCCTCGTCCATCACCGGCCCGTCGCCAGCCGTCCTATCCTTCCATCTTCAGACCCAGACTTGTCCACGTCAGCAACAAATGCATCCTCGGCTCCCCACGGCGCGCATCCCTAGCATCTACCATCAAAAGTCTGATATGGTGATCTGTCAATCAGCCCAGAAATGCACACGCATCATGTGGGATGGGAAAGTGATCCGTCACCTTGCTCCGTCTGCGGAGCACAATCAATCGCAGTACTCCCTGCTATCGGGCATTAATTAACTCTAACGAGCAATCCTGCACTAATTACACAAAACACCACCAGGGACCTGCAATCGCCGGGTATCACTCTAGTAAATACAGCTACATCCAACTTTTGGGTCTATCGTGACATGAGCCTCGTAAGTGAAATGGTAATAAATCGAGGAAACCTTATATCCGTCCTTCGTCTCATATCCCGCTTGCCCAGAAAATATACTCCTTTTAGGTCCCCTTACACGTACATGGTTCTGTCATCCCGTCGTACCTAGCTGGCTTGTCCCATGTGCCTCAATTCCTCTCCTCTTCACGGCTCGTGGTCATCGATTACGTCCAGGTCAAAGTCCCGGATCCGCGGTGACATGCTGTCCGTCTCGACACTCTCCCGCTGCGCCTGTCGGCCATATCCGCCACTCCTCGAGCTTCTCGACTCTACCATGTCGTCGAGCACAAGGAACCCTCCCGACCCAGTAATGCTACCAGAGAGGGGCAGGTGAGCATGGCTCGACGTGTTCGACCGCGCATATCCACCGTGAGAACTGTTCCCATCGTTCGCCGCGCTAAAGTCTCGTCGGCGAACCGGCAGCTCAATGCCCTCGCCACGATCCATGGCGAAGGTGCTGCCACTGCGCATGCTGCCCGGCCCGCCGCCGAGCGTCTTGGCGTTGTCCCGGGACTGCGCTCGGCGGAGGTTGGCCGCGGGGCGGTGGGAGGCCGGGGTGCGAATGCTGCTGTTCGTGTCGCTCTCACTGACCACGCTGTACGCAGAGCTAAAAGGCGGTGCAGACCCTGCCGAGTGGACGGACCGGGCCGCCGGGGTCTGGTATCCGGAGCCCCGCGACGTCGTAGACGCTGGAGCCCGCGTGTAGGCAAAGGGCCGACCGACACCTTGGATGGGGCTGGTGTTGCCCGAGTCCCCTTCGGAGCTCTCTGCACCGCTGCTGTTCTGGTTGTTCCACGTATTCTGCACAACCCAGCAATGCGACAGCTCATGCGACGCCTCGTCCGGTGTGCTTGATCCCTTCCAAGGCGGCACTCTGGTTCCTTTTAGGCGCGGGGACAGGTGGTAAGGGACGTCGTCTCGGTACCGAACATTGGGGGCGTCCACCGAAACACTAGCCAGGGTCTGGAGGATGCCATAAATCAACACCCAACGGCCCCGTCTGGCTACTGCGGGGTCCACCTCGGTGATGCTGTCGCTCTTTTCAAACTTGACGAATGCGTCGATGAGGTCGGATTGTGTAAAGTCCGATCCCAGGATGTAAATATTGGTCGCCTCCGTGTATGCCAATTGCACTCGTCGTTCCAGCGCACCGCCTCTATTGTTTGTGGGGGCGTTCTTCTTCTTGAACATTGATGAGTCCTTGGGGCTGGGAGCCGGAGTGATTGACTCCGGGACAAGAGGGTACGGGTGCGGGATGTGCGGGCAGCGCAGCTTATTATCGTATTCAACGAGCATGTCCGTCATGGGAATGTCAATGTCGGCATCGAACCCTTTGTCCTTATCGCTCTGCATCATCCACTTTCGCCCCGAGCGAGCCTCGGACATGTCCCAAGTAATGTCACGGTTGACGAGGTAGTCGTATAGGGCACCGAAGTCCTTCTGGAGCAACTGTGCGACGTTCCTTGTGAGCCACATGTCTTCTCCTTCCGAGTCCGGTAGACCTGCTGTCGATGCTGGCGGCCAGCATCCGTGGGCTCGTGAGTAGTGGCTGAGGAAGAACTTTTGCAGGCGGTCTGCCGCTGCCTTGGACGGGCCATTGACACCCGCTGGCCACATGTCGCCGTATTGGAACTCTGCAAGACGCTCTTCGGCGGCTTGCACTCGAAGTTGTGTCTCGAGGCAAGCACGCTCGAGTAGCGCCCTAGTAATGGGCGTGAGCTCCTTGAAATCAGCGCACTGCTCCAGCTGGCTGTACATGCCAGCGCAGTGCAGGAAGCTCTCCCGCCAGCCTTCCTCCCACCTCACTGCCTGGCCTTCCGACCATGCCAGCAAGCTCACTGCCGTTTCTGGGTCATTGCGAACATCGTCGATGCCTCGAGCAGACAGGTAGTTGAGAATCATGCCGACGTTGTCTGAGTCTGGTGGTAGGTACGCGTCGAGTCGCATGTGAAGATCTGACAGGGCCTGGTACAAGGACAACCCGACGAGGGATGCATGGTAAAGCAGAGCAAACACATTCCTTGTCGTAATCTGGCTTCGGACCTGCTCCACCTTGGTCATGTTCGCCGGCGTAGGGAAGTACATCTCGTAGGAGATCTGGCCGTCGGCCTCTCCAAGATCTTCAGAGATTGGTGGTGTCGGCTGACCACGACCCATGTGTGGCCGCAGCATGGGAGGTGCTCCTTGCGGTGATGGCGGCATGTAAATGTCCTCCTCCGTGGTGCCTTCTCGAAGGAGTGTGATGAGATACCTCGACTCAGTTGCCTCAATGATGTGGGACGACAGCCTGAAAGAAGGGTTCGGCCTCGGGTTTTGTCCCTTGTGCCCGAAGAAGACCAAGACATCTCCATTGGGGTCCCAGAGCTCCGGGTCTTTGCGAAGCTTGTTCCATCTTTGGATTGGTCTCCCGGCACCAATCCATCGCTTGATGGCTGGCGTGGTCGGCACGGGTGGCAGTTTCGAGGCTGGGGGTGGTGACATGGGCAGGTCCATTTCCTGATATCGCATCTGTTGCTGTTGTTGTTGCTGTTGCTGCTGATGTTGTTGTTGCATGTGCATTTGCAGCTGCATCTGTTGCATGGTATCCATGTTAAACTGCTCATATGTGTACTCGGGCTCGGTGGGTGAAAGGGGTGCAGAGCCATGGTGTTGGCCTGGCCTCACAGTGGCGACAGACTCGGGACGGAATTCAGGCTCCTTGTTCTTGCGCTTGAAAGTGAAGGTATTGGCGAGCCCTCGCCTCACATCCTCACTCTTCTTGTCCAGCCTGCTCCTCAGGCCAGACTTCTCGATGCCGGAGACATCCTCTGTCTTAATGGTGGGTCTCCTTGCCCTCGCGTAGGCGAAGTCGTCCAAGGGGCCGGCAGCTCCGTCCCGGCGGCCACCTTCGCTGCTCCCGCTGCCGCTACCGATGCTGGGGGTGCCGACCTTGACATCGCGGGGCGGCTCCGAGAACTTGAGGAAGCGGGCGTTGGTGGTTCCGATGCCGGTGCCAACGGGCAGTGAAGCGCCGGTCTGGGGCAGAGGAAAGTCAGGGATGGCATAGTCGTTCGGGTCTACTCCTCCTCCTCCAGGGCCGAGATTCGCGGCTGCTCTCGCCTTGTCCTTCTCGGTCTGGGTGATCTTCTTGCGCACATAGGCGCTCCGGCCGGACATGTTGGCGGCGGCGGGGGAAAAGCAGGGCGATGAAGCTCACGGGGAGCAGTCAGGCAGAGTGCCTTCCTTAGCCGACTGGGGCGGCGGGGGGCCCCGGTGTCTGGGGTTCAAGCCGTAAGAGCAGCCAGACACGTGTGAGATGACGAGGTGAAGTCTGACGGCCGACGACGGAAACGACAATGGCGAACTATGGCCTATCCTTTGGCCTATGACCTATGACCTAAGTAAGGCAGGTAAGGTACGGGAAGCGACGGCGCGACGGCGTGTCGGCGGCCGGGTCTTATGTGGGCGATAAGATAAGAGACCTGGACCTGAGGTGGGCTTCTTCAGAAAGGCAGGCGCACCTTTGCAAAAGATGCAGCAGGTGCAGCAGGTGCAGCAGGTGGTCCCCTGAAAGCTGAGATTAAGCGAGGGGTACGTACTCTCGAATCGGGCAATGAGAGAGCTCCGATAAGAAAGAGAAATGGACGAAAAGGCCAATGAGAGGCGCCGAGAAGGCCGAGGTGGGGATAGCGGGGGACGCGTGTGGGGCTGGAGGGCGCCGCCGGGGCCAATCGGCAGCAGCTGTGCCTCTGGAGGGTTGCCCGCTTCGGCGTCTTGTGCGTCTGTTGCGCCCGCTGGCGATGGCGGATGCGGAAGATGACTGGTGGCCGGAGGCGCTTTTTGCTTTTCTTTTGTTTTGTTCCTATGAAGGCAGCCTCATCAGCTCACGCCTCTTTTTTTTTTTTTTTTTTTTTTTTTTCAATGTGACCAACACGAATTGCCAATCTGGAGGTTTGTGTGTATCGGATATCGCAAGTATGTGTTGCGTGTGTTGCGTAGGTAGTATGCGCGTCGGGTCTAAAGGTGAGGAGGACTCGTGTGTCTGCCTGCCTATGTCGTGTGGCTGTGTAGTGTCGTATGTCGAATGGGATACAGGCAAGGTAGGTATATGGGTGAAAGAAGAGACGGCCGAAGAGAATCACAAATGATTCCTTACCTTTCGACAAAGGTCCTCCCTTCAACGTGGCTGGTCGTGCTCGGTTGATATGTCTTCGATGATGCAGAATCGCAGATGTTTGCGGCCTGCGTTCGGGGCACCGATCAGGCCTCTCGTGCCTGGCAGGATTCCTTCGACTCCGTAGCGTCTTTGAGGTGTGCGTGTTGTACGTCGATTGCGCCCGCTGCGTGTCGCTGTTGCGCTGCCGGCTCGGTAAGGGAGAGGAATGGTCTTGGGCCTCGGACGACCGAAATGAGTCCGCGCCCTCTCTTCTTCTCTCTTCCCTTCTCTCTCTCTCCTCTTCTCCGTGTCTCTGGAAAGTCGCAGAAACAATGATAGCAGAAAGCCAAGAAACCAGAAGGAAGGAAGGAAACGGAAAGAACCAAAGGACGCGGAGAACAGCACTTGAAGGAAGGCCGCGTGTGGTGGGAGGATATGTCCCCCAGATATCACATTTTGGCTCCCGTCATGGACCCAAGACTAAGCAACGCCGTCGGTGCCATACCATACCATACCCATACCATACTGAACCGGGCATCCAACGCCGGCCATACCTTACCTGCCTTCGGTTATTCGTACTCTGAATACTAGCACATAATACCTGCTCCGGCTGCTGCATGCTATGCCTGGGGAAGACATCCACTTTCTTTTCGGTCAATCATGTCTTGGCCTGCGGAACCAACCCCCAGCCCGTTTCTGCCTGTCTGCAGTAGTTGAACTCTGATCCTACCATGGATGCTTGATCAATGCTGCCCTACCCATGGGTCCCGCGACGGCGAGGAGGGGCTTTTACTGCATTGCATTGGTTCGACCGGTCTTACTGGAGACACTGTGACGGGATGCCGTCGACCAGACGGATCGCTGCCTCCTCCTGCAGCAGCATCACAGTCTCCCGTCGTCTCATCTGCAGTTCACCACTCATCAGTCGCTGGACTGGCAAAGCCTCTCTGACAGACGCTCACCTCAACTCAACGTCAGCCAGAATGCTATCAAAATCCGCTTCCGATAGGCACATTCGGCAGCTCTGCGCCAGCAAGGGGTCCCGGTAGCCAGACAAGGATCAACCACTGCGAAAAGGGCAGCCCAGGCAGCACCAGCGAACCGCACACTGGGACAAAGGATCCAGGCCCTGGCTGGCTTTGGTGATTGATTACCGCTTTGCTGACCACGCCTGATTGATTGACTGATTGATTGAGCCAACTGGTTTTGATTGATTGATTGATTGAAATGACATTGGTAAATCGATGACGGGAGGGGGGAAACCGTCCGACAATACGCGGCCCGTCTTTGGCAGCCGTCCGTCTGTGGCCCAATTCGATTTGACTTTTCAATTCTGCTGAACGGCAATTTACTGCATATTGTCGCCGTAAAACCTTGACATGCTTGTCGCCTCTTCTTTTGCATCCCGTCTCAACGACGACGACGACAGCCATCACTCAATGTTACCAACAGCGACAGAACAACCCATGCCAAAAAGGTCCCCGGTCTCCATGCTACTCCGTATCGGCCCCCAAACAGAGGAAAAGTCCTTCCACCCGAGGCTTCCCTCTGCGAACTGCCTGCCTTACACAGTTATGCTGTTGCCGATGTGTTTCAATAACCCGAACCTTTGGGTCGTATCCTCAGGGACCGTATCGCCGAGGGTCCAACGATGCAACTCAACTCCATCAATACAGCAAAACCCCCTGGCCGTCGTCTGCCCAGGACTTTAGTGTAAGGTTGGCCAGAGAGGGACCAACAATTGGATTGCTGCTGCACATCGCAATGGACAATCCCTCCAGTCCCAAGACGCAAACAGCAGCAGCTGTTGCACTCATCATCTCCATGTTCTTTGTCTCTCTCTCCGTGTCCTTGGCTCTTCCCTCCCCTTTTCTCCCTCTTCCACCATACTCGCCTCACAAACCACCAGAACAGGTTCATCAACACCAGACAAGACCAGACCAGTCCAGTCCAGTGTCCGTTGTTGAGCTCGCGCATTCATCCTTATCAGCAAACCCGCATGCCCCTGGCAGCCGCACTAATGCAGGTGAAGTCGGCCGTCATCTTCCTGTTCCCAAAGTCCACCGGCGGCGTCCAACGGCCTGGGCAACACTCACGGGCCTTGCAGCCCTGCCGTCCGTCCCGCCCAACCCCTATCCCCATGATACGGATCGCAGTGAACTTCCTGAACGGCCCAAGGCTGCTTTGCACGTAATGCCCGAACGGCCGGTCATCATCTTCTGTCCAGAGTGTTCTCTGCCCTCCGTCGACCTCCACTGCATCGCTTCATTGCCCCCATCCAGAAGCTGCCCATTTCTTGCATCGGCCCATCGCCTCTGGTGGCCCATTGCACCCAAAACTACCCTGCCGTGCCATGCGCAGTGCATGCATCAATCCATCAATCCTTGATATTGCACTCTCCGCTATATACCAGGGGCACCACAATTGCTACTACGGAGTACTGCGGCCGACCGACCTGTTGGCCCTTGAGATGGTGCTTGGATCCGCGGACATCGGCTTCAATCCTTCGATGTTGGGTTCCAGAGCAGGCCCAGGGCGAGGGCGGATGGCACGCGCAGGACGCCACACCGCGTGAGCTCGGCGAGGACGGCCTCCACCACCACCATCACCACCACCTTACCCTTCGCAAGGTCTTCCTCCCGGAATGGCGGCCGGTGGTGACTTTATGGCGTCGGAAAGCAACACTACTAGAGCCGGATCAGCGGCCCAAAAGAGGAATCGTCGAGAAGCATGGTCTCCGCGTTGCGAGTGAGAGATGGGAGCATTCTGGGGCCGCCATGCTGCAGAGGACGCACCTCACCTCACCTTACCTCACCTCGCCTCCTGATTGTCATTGCCATCCAGCTTCTGCCCACCGGTGAAGGTATGTAGTTAGTTCCCCGTTGGCTAAAGGGATTTTTGGAAGTCCCAATATGTGCATCCCCCACCCGCCGCTCGTGTCAAGGGGTCCTGGACATGGCCCCGCGTCACCGTCGCTGGCCCTCCCCCTCTGTGCGTTCTGTCTTCTTTGACTTGGGCTGAACGGATGACCCGTGGAGGAGCTTGTTTGCAAGAGCAGACGTTTGAACGCCCGCTTCTCGTGGCCCGGGCTGTCATTCTTGGGCCGGAGGATCAGTCAAGTCAGTGAATGCTGGAAGATAGTGGCTTGCTAGGGACCCTCGACCCCCCTGGTGATCCAAGCATCTTGTTCTCCAGGCACGAATAGGCAGACTGCCCGTTGTTGAAGGATCACCGAAAGCCCAAGGGGGCGGTGCAGGAACACATACGCTTTCGCAGAGCACCACCACCCCCGTCGTCAGTCTGATTGAGCGCGCTCCCCGTCAGACAGACCAAACAACAATGGGCATCACCGGACGAGAGAAAGAGAGCACGGCCGGAAGGGTTCAAGTCGCATCCCGTACGTGCGGACCAAGGCCTGGAGGGAGCATCGTCTCCCCCCCCCGCCGCGCCGCCGGTGAGAGGTGAGTAAGACTGAAGTTAATACTTACAACCAAGGTTACCGATGAGGTTGCTTTGCTTGGCAAGCCACCACCCACCGTCCCAAGATAAGCTACAGAACAAAGAAAGCCAGGGCCAGTTTGACAACTTTTCGTAACGTAATGGATCCAGAGCGTCGGGCTCCGAGTCCCTCCACCCCTCGTCGCTCCCATCCGATCCCATGCTCTCCCATTCTCCTCCATTGACGCGGAAAGCCGCAGCAGAACGCCAGAGAGAAGCCGAGGAGGGCATTATGTTTCTCTGTGCCTCTTGCACGCCGCCCCGCGCCCGCCCGCCCACGTTTTGCTGCCCATGTTCATTTCCAGACTTCTCCAGAGCATCCGCGCCGATCGTCTGCCAACCACATGGCGAAGCCGCCAAAAAGACGGCCCAACTTTAGGACGATCAACGGGGGTCTTGCAAGGAAAGCCATTGAAACTAGCAATTGACAAGATGCCTTTCGCAATTTCTCTGTGATTCTTCCTTTCGGACTTTCAAACTCTGTTCCTGCAGCACTGCGGCGAATCGGCCGATTTGCGCCCGC